TGATGGGGCACTATTCCTACCACTGACACCAATGATGGGGTACTATTCCTCCCATTGACATCAGTGATGGGACACTATTCCTCCCACTGACACCAATGACGTGGCACTACTCCTCCCACTGCAAAATTACAGTTATGAAGTAGCAAAGAAAATAATGTTATGGTTGGGGGTCACCACAACATGAGGAACTGTATTAAGGGGTCGCGGCATTAGAAAGGTTGAGAACCACTGTCCTAGATAGACGGGGCCTTTTATACAGTACTTACTATCCACCCTAAACACTATGTCTTGAACCTCTTCTAACCCTTATCTAAGTTTAAATATGGCATTAGAGACAGGGGCCTCAACCATTTTAGCATCACTTGACAGAACTGAGTCGAAATTGTGGGAGAAACCGTAGAAATTGGCAGCAGAAAGTGATTATTGTACAACCAACAGCACTACTCCAGAAAGTTCTGTTTCCACTGAAAATACATAAACCACTCTTAGCAGATAGAAAGAAAATTGCTTTCAGGAGGACAAATTGGCATGGCAGCATAAGTACTTCTAGAGCAACAGGCCTACACTAGCTCAGTTAGAATTTTATTTTCACGTAATTTCCACTAGTCCTACAAAGAAGAGCAGCCCAGCATCTAGATAGATGATTAGGGCCCCCATGGTTTAAAAATAGTTAATTTTCAGCAGACACAATGGCATTAGCAGTTAAATGTCCTGTTAATCAGATCACCACATTTAAAAATGCTGAATTGATGTCAATGACATAATAAAGTGTCTTATTAACCACTTTTGGGGCGCCCGCCCACATGATCACAATGACAACAAAGTTTTTATAAATCAATCTGAGTCATAAAAGCTTTGCTTCTGTTCCTGGAGAGCTGTGATTGGTCCACAACTCTCACATGGCACATGGGGCCAATCACAGCACCCTGTACCATGTGACCAGCTGGAGCCGATCACAGATCACTGTATTTTGAACTGTGATGAACTTAAAACAATCATGACAGTTTAAAGCAAGCTTTGTATTGCAGAGCAAAGTGTAAAAGAAAAAATCCCTGATAATCCCCTAAAGTAGTACAATGTTATTACTATTGACTCTTTGATCGCCCCTATTAACCTTCTGATCACCCTGTCACCAGTGCCATTAGTACAGTGTCATTATATAGAATATTTCACTGTTTTACTGTGCCACTAGCGACATCCCATAACGTCGGGGTCTGTAAGCTCCCCACCCAGCCAGGGTCAGCTAGCATTAGATTGCCCGCACACTATCCCTATAGTTTGCTGATCACTGCCATTACTAGTATAGTGTTTGTACAGATCAATATATTGATCATGAACACAACTATACTAGTGCCTCCTTTGTATAGTTGCAAAAAACGCAGTGTTAGCAGGATCGGCCCATTCGCTGTCAGCTCTAGCATTTAGCCCCTCCACTGTTTTTCATGGAAGATTTGTATGAATTGATTGCGGGCCAAAGCAATTTATATGCACAACAATGCATCGCTGCCCACCCAAATTCAGCTCTTGCCAGTCAATTCGCATGGAACCTATCACATCTTGCAAATGTTTTTGGGCCTAACCCTCAACATGGGCATTACAAATAAGAGTGAATTGCGGTCATATTGGTTCAGAGATCCGATTCATCATATGCCCATGTTTTCTGCCCAACAAGGACCAGCAACGTACTGGTACGCCATTTGAGTGGTTATACTGGGATGATTCCTGCAGCTACAGGCATCATCCTGGTATTGTTTTTTCAGCTGGCAGTTGGCTTTCATGTAAAAACAATCCTAGCCACTAATTACCCACTGGATTGCTTTTACAAGCAGCAGGACGGGACCCCAACCTCCCGCCGCCTTCCTAGGTTTTCTTGGGCTCTTCCGTCCCACTGGGGAACCCAAAAATTCAGCCAGCAGGTACACTGGCTGACCATAGAGCTGATTGGACACTGGAATGCCTCCAATTATCTCCATGGTCTAAGAGACCAGAAGCTGTGAGCATTTCATCATTTCCATTTCACCTGATTAATAAACAGCACCATTTTAAAATTGTGAAAGCATCTTATCACACTAATATTGATGTGATCAGATGCTTTAAGAACAGAGGAAATATTTCTCAGAAAAGAGTACCTGTCATTGCCTATTGCTATTACAGGGGATATTTACATTCCCTACGATAACAATAAAAGTGTTAAAAAAATTAAAGGAACAGTGTAAAAATAATGGAAAAAGCAACATAAATAATAAAAAAAAATTCATCCCCCATCCCTGTGCTCACGTGCAAAGGCAAAGGCAAGCCACAGTCCTGTGGCAGTATATAAACAGAGATTGTACCATGCATGTGAGGTATCACCGTGAATGTCAGATTGAGGGCAGTATTTCTTAGCACTAGACCTCCTGTGTAAATCTAAAGTGACCTGTAAAAGATTTTAAAGTGTCGCCTATGGATATTAAAAATGTATTCAGGGGTGTGCGCAATTTTAAAGCATGCCATGTTTGGTATCCAGTCACTTGGTGTAACATCATCTTTTACATTTTACCAAACAATTGGGGAATATATTGCGTTTTTTTTTTTGCATTAAAATTCAAAAACGTGTATTTTCTCAAAAAATTTGTTTGAAAAATCACTGAGCAAATACTGTGCAACATAAAACATTTCAACATCATCCATTTTATTCTCTAGGACCTCTACTTTAAAATATATATTTATTATGTTTGGTGGCTTCAAGGTAATTTTCTAGCAAAAAACTGTTTTTTCAAGTAGACAAAAAGTGTCAGAAAAGGCTTGGCTGCCAAAAAGTCTCTCACATGTGGTATCCCCATGCTTTGGGGTGTGTTTTGGGGTGTTATTCCACTTAAACCCATGGCATACATGAGCAATTTATCATTTAAGTGACAAAAAAAAAGTCATTTTCCAAAAATGTGTGGCAAAAAGTAAAATGTTCCATGGACTCAACATGCCTCTCAGCAAATTCCTTGGGATGTCTAGGTTCCAAAAAGGGGTCATTTGGAGGGTTTTTAGTACTGCCCTGGTATTTTTAGCACCTCAAGAAATGCAATAGGCAGTCAGAAAATAAAAGCTGTGTAAATTCCAGTATATATACCCTAGTTTGTAGATATTACTTTCACACAAACCAATTAATATACATGTATTGGGATTTTTTTTTACTAAAGACATGTAGCAGAATACATTTTGGCCTATGAATTTATGACTAACTCTGAGTTTTCTGGATATTTTTTATAACAAAGTAAAAAAATATTTTTTTAAAAAAAATTTGTGGTCTTTTTTCATTTATATCATAAAGAATAAAAAAACCAACTGGTGATCAAACACCACCAAAAGAAAGCTCTATTTCTGTTAAAAAAGGACACAAATTTTGCTTGGGTACAGCATTGCACGATTGCACAATTACCAGTTGAAATAGAGCAGTGCCAATTAGCAAAAAATGGTCAGGTCATTAAGGGGGGTAAATCTTCTGGAGGGCAAGTGGTTAAGAAAAGTTGTTATGAATTTAAATTGGCAAAAATCTTTTTTTTCTTTTTTCTTTTTTTTTGTTTAGGATATGAGGAAGGATTTCTATAGTTTTGTTTTTGCTGCCTATGTCTTGTTGAGGAAGTTTCCCTTCACTTCCTATTTTGGAGATGCAGGAAGATCTCTACAAAGGAAAAAATTCACGCAGTGGTCATTAGAATAAGTGTCCCTATTAGAAGGTTTACCCTACCTCTTTTTCCTGTGACAACTATTGGCAACTATATTTGTTTGTGGAATTTATATTTTAGTTTGTTTTATTTTACAGTTAGCTTGGTTTATATAGAACGGTATCATCCCAATATAAATCATTTCTGGGGGTTTTGTTAAGTTTTTTTTTTTTCAGGTAGCTTTAGGAGTAAGGCATGTTCCTCAAATGGTAAGAGACACACCATGACCATCACCTTATAATTGGCCAGTAGTTCACATTTTTAATGAGGGAGAATAGGCCACAATATACTAGAGGAAAGTTGGGCAACAGCAGGACAATTTTTAAAAGCAAGACCAGGCCTAACTTACTAGAGCCAAGGGGCACAAGCAGTGGCTTTGCAACAAGATACTGCAAAGAATTCAGCAGTGTAAAATTGGCCAGCAGTAGAACAGCTTCAATTAGGAATCGTACATCTAGCTGATTTATGACTTATTTTTATTTTCTTTGGGAATAGGGGGGTATGATAAATGTGAGGGATATACCACGAGGTTGTTTACATGCTGTTAGCATTTTTTGCATTTCGTATGATGCAGCAGTGTGCTGTGAACAAAAAACAGCTCTATGAACAAACAGGACCAAATGAATACTCCACTATGAGAACTTAAAAAAAGCATCATCAACACGAAATAAAAAACAAAAGCAATGAAAAATTATAACCCTTAAATAAAAGTACACTTCTTTTTAAAGAAAAGTTTTAAAGAGAAAAATCTATTGCCAGGACAGCAGTTAAAAGTGAGAATGTACCTAAAAAACAGCCCCAAAATAAACTGGAATACAAAGAAATCATAATGATAGAGAAAAGGGTAGAATTTAAATCTGATTGTACTTTGGGTTGATTGCCCAAAGAGCTATCAATTTCCTCACTGACCCTAATATCTTTTTTTAGTTTTTCAGCCTTCCCTGCAACAGTTTAAAATTTACTGAAACTACAGACTACAACTATAGTGATAAGGCTGGGTTAACCAAAGCCTTCCTTTCTAATCCTTTTAAGATTTCTGGTCATAGTTCAAAGGCCATGCGGTCCACTATAGTTTAAAAAATGCTCCCAAGTGAACCTGCACATAGATTTGCTGAGAACAGGAATCTTGAACATGCCAAATTTGCCTTGAAACCATGGTAGCTGTGATCTCCATCCCTAGTTGACATCTGTCTATGATAAAAGGGCAAAACTAAACAAAACTTTAGCTGAGGCTTGATGCCCAAAGTCATGTACAGTTACTTGTATATTTTTTAAATCAAACACTTATGGTCACTCCAGATTTTACCAAGAATTCTTAATAGTTTTGATTTCCTCAAAGCTGTCTTTTACATCATTATTCCTTAATGTGTATATAAATGGGTTTAAAAATGGAGTGAAGGCAGTATACATAAGAGCAAGGAATTTGTCATAATGACTACCCTTGGGTCTAACATATACAACAATAGCAGTACAATAGAACAAGCTGGCTACAGTAAGATGGGATGAACAGGTTGAGAAGGCTTTTTGTTTTCCTTCTGAACTCTTAATTTTCAAAATAGCTTTAATTATATGAACATAAAACCCCAAAATAAGCACAAACGGGATCACTGTTGCAAACACTGCAGCTGTACTTGTAACTACATTACTGATAAAGGGGTTAGAACAAGCCAAATTCTGCAATGGAGCCAAGTCACAGAAGAAATGATTAACCTCATTAGGACCACAGAATTCCAACTGAGCTGTGAATATTGTAGGTATGAAAGCTATGATAATTCCAATAATCCAAGGAGCAACTGCAAATTTAACACATTGTGATTTATTCATAATAACTGTATAGTGCAAAGGATTATTAATGGCTAAATCCCGATCAAATGCCATGGCAGCAAGAAGATAACATTCTGTGACTCCAAGAGAATTAAAAGCATACAATTGTGCAAAACATCCCTCAAATGATATCTTTCTACTAGTTTCCAGCAAATTAGCTAGAAGTTTTGGGATGGTGACTGATACAAATATAATTTCCAAGAAAGCAAAAGTACTAATAAAAAAATACATAGGTGTATGAAGTGTATATTCATTTTTTACTAATATCAGTATGACACAGTTCCCTAAAATGCAAACAATGTATGCCAATAGAATAAAAATGAAGAGTAAAGTTTGGAATTGCTTTAAGCTGGAAAAAGCTATAAGAATGAATTCTGTTACCAAAGTCTTATTGATATTTTTTAGGTAATAGAAGAGTGGGCCCTGCAAATAAATAATAAAGAAATACATTATTTTGAACAAGCATTGTTCACATTTGTCACTTTATATTAATATTATTTGTAAACAAGATTAGAGTTGCACTCCATCATGAATTCTTTAGGGCTTTATTCCATAAAACATGAAATATCAACATACATATTATCTTTTCTCAACAGACCACACTCCCTATACACATGTTACCAGGCTTGCTCACAAGAACAGAGTAGGTGGCATATCATATCCACTATGAACATTTGTGAATCTAGGACACTTTTACACTGGTCTCCTGCCTGTGCACTAGGATCCTGAACCCACATCGGAGTTGTGGGACATGGATACCTAAGTGGTATCTTTGCTTGCAAGATGACCTGGGCAGCACAGTGGCTAAATAGTTAGCACTTCCACCTGGCAGTGCTAGGGTCATTGGTTCGAATCCCAACCACTGCATCACCTGCCTGGAGTTTGCATGTTCTCCCTGTGCCTGCGTGGGTTTCCTCCGGGTACTCCGGTTTCCTCCCACACTCCAAAGACAAGCTGGTAGGTTAATTGACTCCTCTCTAAATTGGCCCTAGTATGTGTATGTATGAATGTGAGTTAGGGACCTTAGATTGTACACCCCTTGAGGGTTAGGGACTGATGTGAATGTACAATATATATGTAGAGCACTGCGTAAATTGACGGCGCTATATAAGTACCTGAAATAAATAATAAGGTGACCTAAAAAAAATAAATTATGATGACATGTTTGCATTAGGCTGTGCATAAATGGTATGATCCTTGAAAGCGATGTCCCTAGAGTGTGTTCCTTTGTAAATGGGGAACATTATACACAGATACAAGTATTCATTGTCAGGTCTATAGTTTCATGGAAGTAATTGAAAGTTGGATGGATAGGTGGACTGGTGGATAGATGGAGAGAGGATTGTGTGGATGGCTAGATGGGGAGGTTGATGGATATGTGTTTAAAGAATGAAAGGAAAAGGGGTGGATGGATAAATGAATGGTCGGTGATAAGAAAGTATGGGGGTGAGCATGCTGGAGTAATGGATTGGTGAAAAGGAATGATGAATGGGTAAAAAGACTTGGAAGGTAAGATTAGTTATTGTAAAGCTAAGATAGTAATGCTGTTTGTGTAATAACTACATGGACTGTTCCATTCCAAAGTGTCATCCTCCACCTATACCTCTGTTCCAATTGTACCTCCAAGTCCACCTATACCTCTGTTCCAATTTTACCTCCAAGTCTGTCTCCACTGAAGACATTTACCATGTAACAGAAAATAAGCAAAAATTTTGAGTACACATTTCAGGTTAGCTTTTTATACAACTATTCTGAAGTAATGAATCTTAAAGTGTATTTTCACTTTTGCAGTTAAATTTGAGTAGATCTCAGTATATGTTTGCTATGTTTTCCCATTCACATAGTATTCCTAATAAAATGTAAAAGATATTTCCTACCCCTGCTGACTGCAAAGTTTTTTTGAACAATGTCATAATGAGTCTGTCCTAAGTCTGTCCTTATTAACATGCCTAGTCTCTAAACTCTTTGTTAGGATAGACAGTGTTCAAATCTAGTTACAGGGATAATTATGATAAACACAGCAAACAAACCCTCTCAAAAACAAAGAGAACTACATACTGGAGCACTTTTCCTTACAAGAGAGTCTAGAAAAGAACATCTAAAAAAAAGGCAAGCTGCCATGTTAAATATTTTTTTTTAGAGTTTTTTAAGTTATGCTATCAAATGGATACATGTAACAAATCTAAAGTAGGTGTTATACCAACCTGGCTGCAAAAGTGGAAATACACATGTTACAATGTATTTGAAGTCCAGAGCACTGGCACAAAGAAAAAGCCTTTTGCTGCCAAACACTGTCTGACAAAGGTCCTGTACTGTGCCCTCAGATACTGTATATGCTGCAGTGTCTGGACCTTGTAATACATTATTGGCTTCCATGCTTACTGCCTTTTGCCTGCTAAAGAATGAATCAAAACCTACATTGTACATGCCACCTCATGTTTTCCATCAGATAAAGTCCCTTCAACTCTGAGTCCACCATTGGATCTTATTCTCCTATGCCTACATCTAATGTGCCCACCACTTCTGCAATTAAGACCGTTTATTATTTGCCATATCTGTCCACAAGCATTAGCCAATACATTGCTTGATTGTTCCACTTTGCCACAGCTATCATCCATCCAGGAAATATAGCCTGCTTGCTGTTGTCTTCAACCATTCTCAGCCATCATACCATTCCACAGGAAAGATAGATCAGTGGGGGTAGAACCATTTCCAGACACACCCTTACAGACTTTTAGAACTCCTCTTCTAATTATTTTGGGGTAATCACCAAGAAAACTGAGTACTGTAAATGTTAGCGCATATAAAAAAAGTATCATGGACATTTTCTGGACAATTTTTCAGGGGTGTTTGAATGTTCTCAGTACAAACAGTACTCAAGCAGTAGAAAACTGCTTGGACCAAGAAGAATGGAACACCCAGAAAGTGTTTCCTAAAATTTTAAGTAGCTCATATTGGTGCAAATTAAAAAAAGTAAAGCAGACAATACTATTTTTTGCTCCAAATGCACTAATACAGCTATAATCACCTCAAGCGTTTTCAAAGCATTTTGTGTTAACTTTTCAGCACATCACCACTATAGTGCTTACTATTTTGCTACAGACTGGCTTTATTCCCCCTTTCACAATGTATCTTCATTTGCAAATGGTAATTTTTTGAGGGGGTTGCAGTGGTCTTTAAAACTATTTAATAAAAATGTGAAGATGGAGCTGGGTTCCAGAATAAGAATTTTCCTGTTGAAGAACTTGGCTAGAAGGAGTAAAGAATTGCTGTATGGTGTTAATACACACTTTTATGCTATTTTACCTTTTTTTTTTTACGAATTTTAAACTCTTCTTCCTCTTTTAATCCTAAGAGAAGCTTAAAGCAAATTTAAATCTTAACTGAACAGCATGTAATATGCTTAAGTACTACATTTAATAAGAAAGCTACTTTTTATTTTTACTATAATTTTTTTTTTACACTTTTTTCAGCCTTTGCTACATCTCACTATTGTTCATCTCTTGCAGCCTCTATGCATTCACTTACTGTCTACATGCATGTAGAACATGTTGAAGCCTCCATCGGAAGCCCATAAGATAGGGAGACAATGCAAGAGCACAACTAGGAGACAAGAACAGAGCATTCTTACTGTTGTCATCATTAGAAAACTATTCCTGAGAAATGCAATGTGGACTTTCATGCAGACATTATTGCAATAAAAAACGACAGATTTGCATATTGTAAAAATTACCTTTGCAGGTTTTTTTTTCTTACAGGTTAAAAGATTGTTTGAAATTTGAATGATTGTGTTAACACATACTTTAAGTGTAAGATTTAAATAAAAAAAACACACAGCGCCCAGGACCAATCTATTAACAAACAATTATAAGTGAAATGCTGCTGTGCATAGGTATATAAACCAAAACAAATATTCCAATATAAACCAGCGCAAAACACAAATGTTAAATAATAAGTGAATATAAAATTATTATTTTATAAATAATCTTTAAAGTCCAGCGATAAAGGTAAGTGACCACAATCCCTAAATCAAAAGTCCAGTGATCTAAGAAAACTTTCTAAAAAATAAACTTCAGTGCTTCAAATAATTCTTCCACCATCCACCAGTGCCGAAACCAACATAAACCGCACTCACCAGATAATGGTGAGTAAAACACCTTTCAGGATTATTTAGGGCTCCTGGACCCCCTTTGAGGACTCCTCTATTTTCCACCTCAGATCTATGGGTATTTCTCCACTTGTCTCCTCGCCAAATCACCAAGTTCCAAAAAGGAGAAAAAAAACTAATAGTGTAATACTGTTATACCCCTTTTTTAATTAATTCAAGCCAAACCACTCACATTTCATAGGATAAAAACCAGCATTTATTTAAGAACATCAAACAAATTTTTGAATAGCAAAATTAATTTCCACGGCTGCTAGGAACTCACAGCAAGATGACAGGTCTTGAGAACGCCCTGTGGGTGGGGCGAAACGCGTTGACGTACTTCCGGTTGGTCCCCCCCCGAACGTCCGACGTCATTTCCGGTGAGTGGAACGCACGCTGAGGGATGCGTTCCAGGCGGCCATTTTTTGACTAGTGAAGAAAGTTTGTTCGTTATGGAGGCTGTCATCTTGCTGTACACAAGGCTGTGAGTTCCTAGGAGCTGTGGAAATTCGTTTTGCTATTCGAATTATTTGAAGCACTGAAGTTTATTTTTTAGATCACTGGACTTTTGATTTAGGGATTGTGGTCACTTACCTTTATCACTGGACTTTTATTCCTTAGAACAATAAATTTGATGCTGAGCCCTAATTGGTAATATATATGATATCACATCCCTATAGGCATAGATTAATCAAGAAAAAAAGAAGGGTGGGACTTTAAAGGTACTAATCATCATAAAAAGTTTACTAAAAAATAATTACCTTTATTAACATTGTTTAAAAGAAGTCACCATATGTGAGACAAGGAATTGCAACCCTATACATCAATGGTCATCTGTATCATATAAGTTCATCTATCAGAGAATCTTCAGATGGC